TCTGTAGCGACATGAACAGTAGCTTCCGTTCGAGCGGTGCCAACTTCATTGGTGGCTTTGCAGGAGTATCTGCCAATATCTGTCACTTTGCTCTCTTTAATTGTCAATGTATATTGTCCACTGCCTTCTTCTTTTGCAATCATGCGTACAGTGTCAATTTCGATTGGCCTATCATCTTTGAACCATTCAATTTGTGGTTGTGGAGTTCCTGTCACTGTCACTGATAGTTTGACAGTCTCGGCTTCTTTAACCTCAATTGGTCGCAGGAATTCTGTGAATTGCGGAGCTGTAGACTCCTTAGCAATGTTGACTGTAGCCTCAGTTTTGGCTTCTCCAGCCTCATTGACAGCCTTACACGAGTATTTGCCAACATCTGTCACTTTGCTATCTTTAATTGTCAATGTAAAGTGTCCACTGCCCTCATCCTTGGCAATCATACGAACTGTGTCAATCTCCACTGGCCTGTCATCTTTGAACCATGATACTTGGGGTTGTGGCACTCCTGTCACTGTCACTGACAGTGTGACTGTCTCAGTTTCCTTGATCTCCATAGGTTTAAGGAACTCAGTAAATTGTGGAGCTGTGGATTCTTTGGCTAGGTGTACTGTAGCTTCCGTCCTGGCTTCACCAACCTCATTCACAGCTTTACAAGAGTATTTGCCTACGTCTGTCACTTTGACATCTTGGATTGTCAAAGTATAACTACCCTGACCTTCGTCTTTGACAATCGTACGCACAGTATCAATTTCCACTGGTCGATCATCTTTGAACCATGACACTTGCGGTTGTGGCACTCCTGTTACTGTCACTGATAGTTTCACCGTCTCTGTTTCTTTCACTTCCATTGGTCTGAGGAATTCCGTAAATTGTGGAGCAGCGGTTTCTTTAGCAATATGGACTGTAGCCTCGGTTCTAGCTTCTCCTGCCTCATTGACAGCTTTGCAAGAATATCGGCCAATGTCTGTCACTTTGCTATCTTTAATTGTCAATGTGAAGTGTCCACTGCCCTCATCCTTTACAATAGTGCGTATAGTGTCAATCTCAACTGGTCTGTCATCTTTAAACCATGACACTTGGGGTTGAGGGGTTCCTGTCACTGTAACTGACAACTGCACTGTCTCTGTTTCTTT